TTCAGAATAGTGCCTGTATATCGTAAACACTGTGTTAGCTGTTACTTTCCCATTCCTCTATTTCCTCCAACTCCTTCTTACTGTAATTAGATATTTTCTTTTGTAGTTTCTGTCTTTAATAGCTAAAACTGTACAAATAAAATTTTATACCATTAAAAATTATATTGTAGTATTATTCATTCATAAGTGTGATTTTTAATGACTGGGAAATACTATTGTCTTAGTGTTACTATTTAGCCTAGTACAATGAAGACAGAATATGTATATGTGGATTTTTATTGACATGCAAAATTAAAAGGAAAAAAATTTAAAAGGCAAACATAAAGGTTTGTTTTCTCTTCTAAAAATAAAAGTATATAACATGATGTATTTTTAAAATTTATTTATTTTTGGCTGTGTTGGGTCTTCATTGCTGCGTGTGGGCTTTCTCTAGTTGCAGTGAGCGGGGGCTACTCTTCGTTGCAGTGCATGGGCTTCTCATTGTGGTGGCTTCTCTTGTTGCAGAGCATGTGCTCTAGGTGCCTGGGCTTCAGTAGTTGCAGCACGTGGGCTCACTAGTTGTGGCTCGTGGGCTCTAGAGCACAGGCTCAGTAGTTGTGGCACATGGGCTTAGCTGCTCCGCGGCATGTTGGGTCTTCCCGGACCAGGGCTCGAACCCATGTCCCCTGCACTGGCAGGCGAATTCTTAACCACTGCGCGACCAGGGAAGCTCCTAACATGATGTATTTTGGAATCCTAAATTTCCGATTTCATTTTCATTTTGGCTAGTAAATAGTTATTTTTTCCCTCATCAAACACCACATATGTATCTATATACAGGGTGTGGTAAGTGCTGGGGATATAATGATGAATAAGGTACTTTCCTGAATAAATCTGAAGTTTGAGGTACTCAAAGTGATGAAGAGGGAACACTGGGAAGGGCAACTACCTCTGCCTGAGAAAGTTGAAATTTGAGCTCGTGTTGACAGATAAATACGAATTTGCTGGGAAGGAAGGATATGGAATTAAAGTATTCGAGACAGAAGAGTCAGAGTGAATAACTTTAGGAGTTGTGGATTGTCCACAAAGCATTGGAATAGTGTCCATAAAGAAGTGTTGTGTGCATGTGTGTGTGTGTGTGTGTGTGTGTGTGTGTGTGTGTGTGTGTGGTGAAGGAGGCAGGATGGGAAATCATACTGACAGTGCTGCTCGGGCCTGGAAATGAAACTTAAGTTTATCGTTTACCCAGTAGAAGTAAGTAGTAATGAGTAGAACAAGAAAAAGTGCTGCTGCAGAAGGCAAGCAGAAGGATTGTAAAAGTAGATGGCTCCTCGTATCCAGTGATGGAGGACAGGTGAGAGGACTGAAAACCAGACAAGTGAGAGGACAAGTGTATGACTGAAAATCATACAACCAGGGCAGTCGTGTGATTTAGCCGCCACCAGTGACCTTAGCGAAAAGCAGTTTGATGTTCAGGAGTGAATGGGGAGAAAGCAATTTGAGACAGTGACTGCGGACTCTTCTTCCAGTAGGTTTGTTGGGAAAAGGCAGTAAATGAGAGCAAAAGCAAGAAAAGCAACTATGGGGCGTGAAGTATCTTCATGATGGGAGATTGGAGAATTTCTGTAGAGCAAGAAGTTTGATTGGTAGTTTAAGATGGCATATGATATTTACTTCACCTACTGGTCTGAAATTAAGAATCTCTAAAATACAAATCAAAACTCACACTGGTCGGAATGGCCATCATTAAAATGCCTACAAATAACAAATGCTGGACAGGGTGTGGAGAAAAGGGAACCCTCCTACAGGGGGAATGTAAATTAGTGCAGCCACTATGGAAAACAGATGAAGGTTCCTCAAAAAACTAGAGTTGCCATATGATCCAACAATCCCACTCCTGGGCATGTATCTGGACAAAACTATAATTCAAAAAGATACATGCACCCCTATGTTCACAGCAGCACTATTTACAATAGCCAAGACATGGAAACAACCTAAATGTCCATTGACAGATGAATGGATAAAGAAGATGTGGTGTGTGTGTGTATATATATATATTTATATATAAAACAGAATACTACTCAGCCATAATAAAAAAGAATGAAATAATGCCATTTGCAGCAACATGGATGGACCTAGAGATTAGCGTACTAAGTAAGTCAGAAAGAGAAAGACGAACACCATCTGATATCACTTACATGTGGAATCTAAAATATGATGATACAAATGAACTTATCTATGAAACAGAAACAGTCTCAAAGACATAAGAGAACAGACTTGTGGTTGCCAAGGGGGAGGGATAGGGAGTTTGGGATTAGCAGATGCAAACTATTATATGTAGAATGGATAAACAACAAGGCCCTACCGTATAGCCCAGGGAACTCTATTCAATATCCTGTGATAAACTGTAAAGGAAAAGAATTAAAAAAAAAAAATGTCTTTCTATATTTATTTCTCTGTGTCTTAGACTGGAACACAAAACTTTAGTCTGAAGATAGATGAAAAGCACATCTTCGATTTGGTTCAAGGCTTTTATTTTGGTGTACCACAAAAGCAGTTAACAAGCAGTGCTAAGGATATAAATGAGATAAGGATGCAGGTAGGTGAATTCAGCTGCCCACTTCTGCTTGTTTGTGTATCACAAAAATTTTGGTGGCCTCAATACCTCTAGCAACTGAAATGCCAGAAAAGCATAGTATTGTGGGCTTAAAAAACAACAACAAATAAAAAAACCCCACATATGTCAGTATCTAGAAGTAACTTACTCAAGGTGAAAATTCTGTTTTTAAGGAAGCCACATCATCTAAGCCTAATGTCTAGGTCCTGGGTCTTGAAACTCTGCTGTGTCTCCTCCGGGGCAGTCTTGCTTTACATTTATCTTCATCTAGGGTCTTTTCATGGCAACACGTGGCAGGCCTAGAACACACGAGGCAAGGTAAAAGACACAAGGCAAGGTTTCTTTCCTTCACTCTTGTGGTTCTAATACAGAGGCTCATGAAACACAGGTATAATGAGCATTCCATTAATTTTCCTCTGCAGTCCAGGAACTTCTGTGTTTTTTTAAAAGGCAATGTAAGCTTAAGAGATGTTTTCAACCCAACAGCTTCATTCAACTCAGCTAATTCTCTTGAGTTCCTTTTCTACGAACATCTATACAAAAACAACCCATTTTCAATGGTGGCAAAGGGTGTTATCTTCAGGAAATTCTGTCAGGGTGAGCCCAGATAAAATCTCCAGATTTGATGCACTCATGAAATTTTTACTCAGGGTGACTTCCTTGAGATGTATTATTAAAGATGCGTATATTTCATATCTAATATGCAGGGCAGAGCAACATGAAGACTTCAGACACTGCTTATAATATTCCATGTGGATTTGAGATTTTTGCTGCATTCATAAATATGGAAAAAAGTATCTACATAACAAGACAAATCAGTAAATCTCTGAAATAGTGTTTACATCTAGAGAGATACAATCACTGTTTTAAAAAACCATCTGTCAAATGTCACTTGATATCTTCAGCATGTTTTAGTAAATCCTGACATACTTTACGGTCTTCTGATTTCAGATCTGTTGCTTCAATTTCGTAATGTCCTGTGAACCCTGTGGAGGTTGTAAGATCACAGCAGTACATTTTCTTAATCTCTCAAAACACCTCTTTTATCAGATAAGATTTTCTCAGGGTATCAGTCTTTTACAGTAGATGGTAGATATAAATTATGGCTATCAATGAGAGGCAATTATTTGGGTGCCTCTGAAGTCAGGCATGTTACATAAATTTGTGTTTCAGGCAAAAAAGTGATGAAAAATCCTTTCCTGATTTTATATGTTTAGGTCCTGGAGCATAAGTTTGAATCTCATTTTGTCTATGCTAGACTAAGAATATTGCTACAAGATAATACAGAAGTCAGTGGCTTCAATGTTTTATTCCTAAATAAATATGAAGCAAAACTGCAGTTTAGGAATAATTTGGCACACTGTCAGGTAACACTACTAACTCAAAACTTGGATAAGCTAAGTAAGTACTTTAGCATGAAATGTATTTTCTGTATTTTTCACGGAACTGTGTCCTTTCTTTTAATAAACACAAAAACTGAAACAAACTTTAACAATATGGTATGATATCACTTTTATGTGGAATCTAAAAAAATGATACAAATGAACTTATTTACAAAACAGAAATAGACTCAGACATAGAAAACAAACTTAGAGTTACCAAGAGGGAAAGGAGGTGGGGATAAATTAGAAGTTTGGGATTAACATATACACATTACTATATATAAAATAAACAAAAAGGACCTACTATATAGCACAGGGAACTATATTCAATACTTTGTAATGGAAAAAAATCTGAAAAAAAAAAAAGTATAACTGAATCACTTTGCTGTATACCTGAAACATTATAAATCAATTATACCTCAATAAAAAAAACTAAAGCAAACTTTAGTATTTTAACTATCAGTATAAACATTTTTTTCAGCTTTACACTTATTAGCCTCTTAATTTCAATATATATATATGTCTACATATCTATATATATCTATGTGTGTCTATTTACAACTTTAGCCATTAGGTAATTTTTTTGTAACTCTGGTCTGATCACAAGGTGAGGTCCTAATCACAAGACAATGTGATAAGAGAAGGTAGGGCTAAGACCTTACAAAATAACATTTGATGCTTGAACCGCAAGAGTTTGAACTCTTAGGGCCCACTTATACTTGGATATTTTTTCAGTAGTAAATACTACAGTACCGTACGATCTGGGATTGGTTGAATCTGAGACTCGCAACTGCAGGTATGGAGGGCCAGCTATAAGTAATATGAGGATTTTTAACTGCATGCTGGGTGGGTACCCCTAACACCTGTGTTGTTCAAGGGTTAACTGTAGTCTGATTCTTGTTCATTTCTGCTAATAATGAGTTCAAAAATGCTTGATTTTGATCAGAAATTTGAAAATGATGACAACTAGAATTTCTGAGCATATCTTAAACCACATAAAAATTACCAGTGACAAAGAAAATAGGCTTATATTAAATAGTGTTAATTCTGAAGACATTTCAAACTTCCATGAAGGATAACCTTACAACCAGCACAAATTTTGGTTAGCTTGTTCAGAAACAAAATATTCTAAGAATGTTCTGAATTATTATTTTCAATATTAAAGTGAAGATAATTTTTATAGTTGTTGGAGGTGCTGTAATATGTCTACTGATACTCCCAGCTGTTTTACCAAACTGGCTGTCTGTTCTAAAATCCAAGTGAGGCTTGGGTTTTCGGAATGTGCACGCTCCTGTGTTCTACAACATTTTAAAGATGAACAATCTACCCCACTAAGATTCTTACTACAGTTTTTGTTAAACTCAGCATTATTTTCATAGAATCTTTCATCTTTAGCTTCATCAATCTTTTCCTCAGCTGGAGCTATATGACAAAGGTCCATATCCTGAATGGAGTCCAATAAATCTACAACATGGGGCTGTGGAGTGATTGATTTCAGATGTCTGAGCACATACTCTTCACAATGGCCAACTGCATCCAGAAGATTATTTATTTTACTGATCAAAGCCGAACTATTATCATGAAGGTGACACCAGGAGAGCAAAGCACTGAACAAAAATATAAGCAAGAGTTAAATAGTAAAAAAATTAAACAAAGGCTTTTAGAATTTTTGATGCTAAGGCTTACATGTTTCTTTTCCAGATAACACCATGCAAAAATTATTAATAACAGTAATGCAAGTCAAAATCAGGAAAGTAATGATGGTAAAATAGGATTAAAAATATAAGGACAGTATCTTTCAATAGGAATTAAACAACTGGACTTAATCATATAAACTGTTTATAATTCATAACCCCTCCTTCACAGCTCTACATCCACTCTTCCTGATTTTAGATTTCTCCCCTTATGACTGTGTAGCTTCTGTTGAAAAAGGATACAACTAACAGAAAGATCTGAAAAATTAGTTTCTCCTTTAAGGACATCAACCACCTTTTAAACTAGTGACTCGCAATCTTGGATGCACGTCAGAATCACCTGGGAAACTTTTAAACTTATCAAGACTCAGGTCACACCTGAGACCAATTAAATCAGAATCTCTGGGGGCATTATTTTTTTTAAAGCTTCCCAGCTGTAACAAGCTGCAGCCAAGGTTGAAAACCACTGCTCTAACCACATAGCTGCTTGCCATCAAAACCAAAGGTTAGGGGGAAAAAAAAAGGTTTGAGACAATTTCACCTTTCCAACTTTGTTACAGAGTAGACACTTTGCTGAGCTAACTAACAATTTTATTGAAGAAGGTTAGATTTCTTTTAGTCCTAATAATTATTTTTCTTTAATTTTTTAGTATAGACAGTTTTATTTTTTGACATTTCAGATCATTCACGTCATGAAATAATGGTTGTTATGAAAAGTAATGATGTTTTAAAAAATGTGTAAGATTTAGCAGTAAGCTTTCTAAGCTTTTAAAAGATTAACTGGATGTGACGATAAACATGTGATCATTTTCCTACTTTAGTATAGTATAAATGCTGATTCCCAACAGCTGAATTTTAGAAAACCTCAATGTAATGAACTTTTCCTTTGTTTTGACAACTTTTGTTTTATACCTTTTAAAAATCAATGATTCCTTGAAGCATTTTGTTTTTCTCTATAGAGGGCAGTTGAAAAGGTATAAAGCATCAAAGAGGACAAGCCTGCCATGCTCCTAGCTCCATGTGCCATTTGATCACTTGGTTCTGATACATGCCATTATTGCTATGGAATCTTGACAGGTGTTCAAAATTTAGGACTAAAGTAAATGGAATCATTTTTCTGTTACCAGCTATAATTTTCATCATGTACTTCTAGTCTAGACGTCTGTTTTATTGTGTTCTGCTACATGTGGAAGACTAAAAGCTTTATTCAAAACCTTAAGTTCTTTTTAATTACTTTGAGACAGAGATCGGTAGTAGTTCAGGTAGCAAAAAATAGACACTTCCTATCATTTCTTTGCAGTAAAAGACAACACCTGGCTCACATATTAAAGTGGATGAACTTCTGACTTTTTGAAGGCGATTTTATTCTATGCTCTGCAGCACTCTTGTGGATTTAACAATAGGAAAAGCACTTCACTTTAAACGGTTTTTACATATTACTTTAATAAAAATCCTCCAGTAGTACTGAGGTTAAAATAATTCAGCATTTAAGTTTTAAAAATTACCTCAATGTTCCTCTGAGTTGTCCATAGTTCTTAATGACTTCCGCACCTTCCTTATAACCTTGATTGAAACCTTGTTGAAGAGTAACTGCTTTGCCAGCATCTATTCCATCTCTATAGCCTTCCTAAAAATAAGAAAGTAATGAAGAATTACAGTTGTAACTAACACCAAGTAAACCACTGTAGGTTTTTCTAGAAAGTCATAGAACCAGTTTGGAAGACTGATGAAACAGGCCTCTACTGGGTTATTTAACAACACGGTTCTAGAACATATGGCATAACCACATAACCAAAGTAGACTATGCTTCTCATAAAAGCTTATTACTGGTTTATCCCATTTTTGAAGTCGAGACTTATTGGGCACATTTAAAAATTTTTTTATTTTTGGCTGCGTTGGGTCTTCGTTGCTGCGCGCGGGCTTTCTCTAGTTGCGGCGAGCAGGGTCTACTCTTCGTTGCGGTGCACGGGCTCCTCACTGCGGTGGCTTCTCTTGTTGCGGAGCACGGGCTCTAGGCACGCGGGCTTCAGTAGTTGTGGCTCGCGGGCTTGGTTGCTCCGCGGCGTGTGGGATCTTCCCGGGACCAGGAACGGAACCCATGTCCCCTGCGTTGGCAGGCGGATTCTCAACCACTGCGTTGGGCACATTTTAAAATACTGACTCTATACAGTTTTACAAAACCCTGTGTTAGCAGTAGCTCCACAGAGAGGAAACATGGGGAATTACGTGTTTGATCCCCTTAGCAACTGGACTGGTGTGGGTGGGTGACGCAGGGCGGTAAGGTCTTGGAACGGAAGGAGGGAAAGAGGAAACTGGTTTAGCAAAAGGTCCATGAGAGGTCTGGTTTGAGAAATTTTGCTTGATACCTAAATTCAAGTAAAATGCAAATCCTCTGTGGGCAGGGATTTTTTTTGTCCCGCCCCAGCACTCAAAAGATGCTCGGTACTGACTTGCCTCGCCTCAGCCTTACGTAAAGCATTTCTCACACTGATAACATGGTTGTTATGCTAAACAAGTACTATTTTACTGAAGCATTAAACAAGCGCAGATTTAGTGGCAACTTAATGGTTGCCAAGGATACTAGTTGGAATGGACCTCACCCTTCGGTCCTCCCCCTGAACTAGGCGCTGAAGGCTCCACCTGGAAACTGGGGGTGTGGTATAAAGCCGAGTCTCAATAGTCAGACAACTGATAGATGAATAATTGACACCCGACAAATAAAAAAAACAAAACCCAACATGAATACTCCCTTACCTAGCCATCAGGATTCCACGTTAGCTTTGTCTTACTGCCCTTCGACAACATTTTTTTTTTTTTTTTTTTTTTTTTGCGGTACGCGGGCCTCTCACTGTTGCGGCCTCTCCCGTTGCGGAGCACAGGCTCCGGACGCGCAGGCTCAGCGGCCATGGCTCACGGGCCCAGCCGCTCTGTGGTATGTGGGATCTTCCCGGACCGGGGCACGAACCCGTGTCCCCTGCATCGACAGGTGGATTCTCAACCACTGCGCCACCAGGGAAGCCCTCGACAACATTCTTAGGTGCACTTTTTCCAGCTGTCCTGATTACCACCACTCCTAACTTTAGGCTCCCGAGTTCTTCAATCAACCCATGTCAAGGGCGTACATGTCCTCTGACAGCCATAATTAGACACATACAGTCAGTGTATACGTTTCTCCCTCATCCCCTTCCCTCTGGTCCTCATCAAACTCAAATCTCTTCAAAGCCTAAGACAAAGTTTATTTTGTTCGCCGCCCCCCCCCCAGTGTCCAACGCGCCCCGCGGGCGCTCTAGGAACGCGTCCTGTGGTGTCGCGCGCTTTCAAGTAATCCATTGGGAAACCCTAGCAGGACGCGGGCAGGACTGCATAATGAGGGGGTAGGGAGGGCAGCGCCGGGTCGGGCCCGGACCACTCGGCCCTCTCCTCTCGGGTCCCCGCCTCTTCACAACGTCGTGCGCCTCTCCTCACATCCCGGTACAGCAAGGGACGCCCACCCCCTCCACGCAGCTTTACTTTGACTCGACTCTGCATGTGGCTCCGCCATTCCCGCTGCACCATGACCGACTCGTCAGCTTCCTCGTCAAAAACGTCCCTCTCCTCGACAGGACCCTGGACCAAAGAAGCGGCTCGAAACCACGACATCACTGAGAAATCCTCAGAAGCGCCGGCGCCGGAAATGCCGGCAACTCCTTCCGGCCCGAGGGGCGGGGCGAAGACTGAGGAGGGCGGGTTGCCTCGCGGGATGGCTGCGCGTGCGCGTTGAGGTGCGCGTGGGTGTGCGCGGTGTTTCGATGTTGGGAGGACGTCCCGGGAGGGTTCTGGATCCCGGGAGGGTCTTGGCTCCCGCCCAAACCGTTTTGCTACCTGGTGTTGTGGCAGCTCCCTCACTTGACTCGAAGTGTGGGCGTGCACTTATTGTGGGCGAGGCGGATTCCTCCCAAGTGGGGCCTGTCCGACTTTGACCTCTGCAGAAGGCGGTGCCTACCCTCAGTGAAACCCTGTCCCTTCCCACTAAGGTCTCTACAGGGGTCGGGTTTTGGAGACGGGCGCATTGTCAAAACCTTTCAAGGTAGTTCTTTTGAGGGATTCTGTCTTAAAATCCCCCTCAGGGCTTTTCTGGTGGTGCAGGGGTTAAGAATCCGCCTGCCAATGCAGGGGACACGGGCTCGAGCCCTGGTCCGGGAAGATCCCACATGCCTCTGCGCAACTAAGCCCACGTGTCACAACTACTGAGCCTGCGCTCTAGAGCCCATGAGCCACAACTACTGAGCCTGCGCACCGCAACTTCTGAAGCCTGTGCGCCCAAAGCCAGTGCTCTGCAACAAGAGAAGCCACCGCGATGAGAAGCCTACGCACAGCAACGAAGAGCCGCAACTAGAGAAAGCCCGCGTGCAGCAACAAAGACCCAACTCAGCCAAAAATAAATAAATTTATTTAAAAAATAAACACATAAAAATAAAATCCCCCTCCGTACATTTAAAGGGTTGGACAGACCAACTGTTTTTTTTTTTTTTTTTTTTTTCTGTTGCGGAGCACAGGCTCCGGACGCGCAGGCTCAGCGGCCATGGCTCACAGGCCCAGCCGCTCCGCGGCATGTGGGATCTTCCCACACCGGGGCACGAACCTGTGTCCCCTGCATCGGCAGGCGGACTCAACCACTGCGCCACCAGGGAAGCCCGAGAACACATTTAGTTTTTACTTTCTTTTTGATCCAAAACAACATATTCAATAAACAATTGAAATCAGATACTTCCTACCAAAATAACTTGGGAACAAATGAAAGCTATCCTATGAGGCAATTCTGTAGGCTTTGATGTCTTTATTATTAAAAAAGAAAGAAAAAAAAGACAAAATTATTATACATCTTAATTAGAAGCAAAATGGTAGTAAGGGAAGCAATAAACAATCGAAATTAATAAAAAACCTCATAAGTAAATCCAAAAGCTGGTTCTTTGGAAATACCAAGAAAACAGACAATCCTATTTTGACCCTGATTAAAGAAAAAGAGAACAAAATTATACAAGATAGAAATGAGAAAGAAGGTAATAACAGAGAAAAAAATTCAAATATTATAAATCACTAACTAAAACTCAAGAGTAACACATTTGAAAACTTAGCTGATATGAGCAACTTCCTAATAAAATTGATCCAACAAGTAGAAAACCTGAAGAAACTAATTACCATAGAAAAATTGGAGATTAAATATCTACTATAAAAAATAGCATGGAGACTTGACAATTTCACAGTTAAATGCTTGAAATCCTTTTTAATCTTTAAAGAATGATGGGTAATTAAATGTTATTTTTTACTCTTCTAGGGCACAGAAAAAGATAGAAACTCACTAAATCATTTCATGAAACCAGCTTTACTGTTACCTGCTAAAGCTAATATGAAAAGACCCCAAAGTTCAAGTTAGCTTATGAATATGTATTCAAAAGAGAATCCAGTACCTTATCAAAGGAATAATTCAAGAGGTTTTATTTCATGAAAGCAAACTGTGCAATATTAGGAAATCTGTAAGTATATTTCATTGCATCAACAATTTGAAGGAGAAAATCCATATGTTGTATTAATAAAAGTGGAAAAGTCATTTGAAAAATAAAAAAAATCAATCTTAGCAAAACAAAATAGAAAGAATAGAAAGAAATTACAAATTGATAAGGACTTTATAAAAAAGTCCAACAGCAAGTAGTATTCTAAACACTGAGATATTAAGCTATTTCCTTGAAAGTAGGGAAAAGAGAAGACATCTGGTGATCGCCATGATTATTCAAGATTCTTTTGGAGACTAGTGAATGCAAGAGAGAAGTAATCTGTATAAATGTTGGATAATAAGAGATGAAGTTATTTATTTATTTATTTGCTGTTGATGTGATTGTATGCCTAGAAAATCCAAAGGATTTTGGTTAAAAACAACTGAATAAGGGAATTTGATAAGGTCTCTGGATATAAGAAATATAAACAGACCAATAGCCTCTTTATTTTCTAACAGTAACCAACTAGAAATGTAGATGAGATAAATATTCCACTTGCAATACCAATGAATACTATTAGATGTAGTCTTTATATATTCAGTATTTGGTATTTATTTAGTATAGTATTTATAAATGTTGGGAATACATTTTAAAAACTCAATTTTATTGAGGTATAATTTACATGTGGTAATATGCATACATTTTGAGTGTGCAGTTTGATGAGTTTTGACAAACATATACCTGTGTAACCATCACCTAGTCAAGATATAGAAATTTCCATCACCCTAGAAAATTCCCTCATACTTCTTTGCAGTCAATCATCAATGCCTCACGGAGGCAACCCCAATCTAATTTCTATCACTCAAGATTAGTTTTGCCAGTTTTAGAACTTCATAAAAATGGGATCACATATGCCCTTTTATGTATTTGGCTTCTTTGACTCAACATAACGTTTTTGAGATTCATTCATGTGATTGCATGTACCAGTAGGTTTGTTCTTTGTTTTTGCTAAGTGCTCTTTTCATTGTATGGATATAGCATGGTTTGTCCATTCACTTGTTGTTGGACATTTGGACTGGCTGTCGTGAATAAAGCTGCTATGAACATTCTTGTACAGGTCATTTTGTGTACACATGTCTTCTCTAGGGTAAATATCTAGAAGTGGAATTGTTGAGCCAGGTGGTAAGTATAAATTTAACTTTATAAGAAACTGTCGAACTGTTTTCCAAAGTGATTGTACCACTTTACACCTCCACTAGCATCGTATATGAGTGTCAGTTGCCCCACATCCTGTTGTTCCTCACTTGGAAAGAATTGTCAGTCTTTTTTTTTTTTTAATCTTTAAAAAAATTAACCTAAAATAACTGTAAAATTAAAAAAAATTAAAGTATAGTTGATTTACAATGTTGTGTTAGTTTTAGGTGTATAGCAAAGTGATTCCGTTTTATATATATATATATATATATATATGTATATAATGTATGTATATATATATTGTTTTTTAGATCCTTTTCCATCATAGTTTATTATAAGTGTGTCCATAAAGCTCATAACTTAAAGCCCCATCCTGACAACAGATGGGCACCAAGGCAATTGCTACAGCTTATTCTTTTATCCTTACTTTCATTTAATAGATATTTGTTGAGTGCCCAGTGAGATGGGGCCACAATACCCAGCAGTGTAAACAACAGATTTGCTTTCACCAAGCATTCATCCTTAAGTTACCTGAATGGTGTTTGCATTCTGTGAAAGGCCTCTCCACGTTGCCTACGTCATCCTTGGCACATAAATTTTTTCACAGAAGGCAGCTCGATGCCCCAACAGCAACTATCTGCATAATCGGCAGGTTAATCAGCAGGTGAGCTCAGGTGTTCGCTGACTTGTGGAATCTTGTCGTGGGGACAATGTGCCAGTATTGCTCTGGACTCATCACTGAAGAATGGCACTCTAGTTGCGTCCATGACCAGACTTGCAGCTTATACCTCAGCAATTTATTTAAATTATAAACCCCTCCAGTGCCCTTCAGTGGCCTCATCTGGGTTGTGCTGGCCCCCAGTGGGCAGGATGGACATGAGGTGGGTGGCCAAGGATGCTGTGTCTGCACGGCTGCTGGAGGCACTGAGTGAGTCTGGGGTCAGCCTCCTTTGGTCTGCTGGGGCTGAGGCAGGAGGTACCACCACGG